TTAAGACAATGGCCACCTTTCATTTTAAGTTAAAAGTACAGCAATAGCATTTCCATACTCCTCCTGTCCAATCTCAACCTTATAAAGTGAATCTTGAAAAGTTGTATTGTTCAGTGCTGGCATTTAGCTATGCTCCAAACTCTTTCTTACCCAACCACAGAAGCAGCAACAGCTGATACTTATTAGCATAAACCATGATTTAACTGGAACAGCTGTAACTATAGTTGCAATTAACTGCTGTTTTTCTTCACTTTATTTCCTTTTTAGTCACAAGGTGAAACTTGTTAAGCTTGGAGAGAAACTCTTCAAACTCTTTAAACTCTTCAATTATTCCAATGAGAATACTCTGTGTCTCTTTTTCATAATTTTTTTTAAACCTTATCTTGTTTATTTTCCTCAAAATACATGTATTAACCTGTAAATTGATTTAATGTTTTCTGGTTTTTTAGATTTTCTGTTTTCTATGTTACAATAAATTTGGTTCAAAATCGGTTTGTTTCAGTCCTTTTTCCATCACAACTGTGAAAATACTTAAATCTGCTCCAATTATCAAAACTTTGTGTAACAACAGCAGAATTAAGACAATGGTCACCTTTCATTTTAAGTTAAAAGTACAGCAATAGCATTTCCATACTCTTTATGTCCAACCTCAACCGTCTAAAGTGAATCTTGAAAAGATGTATTGTTCTGTGCCGGCGTTTAGCTCTGCTCTAAACTCTCACTTACCCAACCAAAGAAGCGGCAACAGCTGAACTTATTAGCATAAACCATGATTTAACTGGAACAGCTGTAACTATAGTCGCAATTAACTGTTATTTTTCTTTACTTTATTTTCTTTTTAGCCACAAGGCGAAACTTGTTAAGCTTGGAGATAAACTCTTCAATTTGAGAGATCTCAATCGTGTCACCCCAGAAGGCTGGACACAAGAAAGAGTTGATGAGTACTTCCTGTGGGCACATAAAGTTGTTGAAGGACTTAAAGGAACGAATGAAGCTTTAGAAAATGAACTTTACAAATTGTTTGCCCAGCGTGGCATTTCTGAGATATAGCGTAGAACTGAGTAGAGAAGATATGTATAGAAATCATATCTTCTTTAATTATTCATATTTCTGATCGCAGGATGACTTGTTGTCGTGTCAGTAGAGTTGACAGAGGTTTGCTTCTTCTTGTACCTCATTTTAACAAACTACTCTAAGTATCAAGTAATATTGTACATAGTAGGTTCACTTCTTCCCTTTTGTATAGAAATAACGAGGATCTAAGAACCATTACGTCGGAAGTAAATTCAAGGGGATGATGTCACTTAAGAATTACCAACCTGACTGAGCTGAGATTATGTATCTATTGAATTTTTAAAGAGTTAGTGCGCGTGGAAATTTAATTCAATTTCTGGTGTCCTTTTGTTTTTGTTCACTTTGGTTGTTTTTGAAAAGCAAGAACTGTCCGGCTTTACGTCAACAAAGTTTACACTACACTTAATTCTCACTATCGTGTTTTATTAAAAAAAAGATTACACTCTCCTTGTTTGGGAAAAAATCGACCAATAAAGCCGTTGTTATTTTTGTGTTGGCAAGCATAGTGACCGGGAACGGAGTGAAGCACAAGCGTCCAAAAGTGTGTTAGTCATGGACAAAGTAAAACAGATAGTTTTGCTTTTGCTCACTACATTCTCGGTTGGTAAGTTGAATAACTGGCTCTTACACATATTTTTAAACATATTTTCATTTTAAATTGAAAATATAGTGGACGGGAAAAAGACTTGGTCGGTGTTAGTTATCCTATGTGGTAAAGGTGTTTTTGGAACTTGAGGCTATGCGGTTGAATTAGTTTAACAGTACAGGATTTTGGCATCGTTGTCAATGTGGAGTCTGCTTAAATTACAGTAAATACCCGGTGAAAAAAGCATTTTAAAACGTTGGGTAGTTTAACATGTCAAGATTTGGAACGTAAACACAAGGGATACATGGCCTTAGTCCGAAACATGCTTCGGAGCACGAGGGAAAGGAAAGGTTTGCTTTTATTATTGTTGGTGTTAACTCTTATCTTTAGTATGTGAGCTTGTCATCAATATGTAAAACTAAGTTAGCATGCTTTTCACACTGAATCAAGCAGCAAATACGCTCGGGTAATTCTTCTCTGAGGTGGCGGGTCTATGTTGTTAATCAAGTTGGAAAAAAACTTGCAATTGTGTAACATTAAATTTAAATAGTAAAGTCTTTCTAAATAAACTTTAAGTAATTGCTTCTTTTTTTGCGGTTTCTTATTAAGATGCTAATTCAAGGATATCGTGTCTCATTCATAGCTACAATGACGCACTTTACTTCTAAATTCGCCGCCTTTAGAGGAAACTGTTGATTGGAGTTCATGAGAAAGGCTGTTCCACAACATAGCACCTCTATAGGAAAAAGTTCTCTCTGAATAGTTGGGGATGGTAGAACAGCCAATTTTTCTTGGAATTCCTCACTCAGTACGAAGTTATATCATTTCGGTGTATAAGTCGAGACTGAAGATATTCAGGGGTAAATCCATATAGAGGTTTGCACATCATAATAGATATGGCTACTAGTCTTTGATGAGTAAGTTTTCGCAAGAGATCATAAGTTGTTTGTAATCTCTTGGTTTTCGTCCGCTGAGTGCCTGAAACAACTCGTCAATATCGTCCTCATTGCTTCAGTGCATATAATAAAATCAGGGCTGCGCGGTTTTGGAGTTCAATCGGTAGTTTTTCACATAGGCCGATGCCGCAGTTGCCTTAAACAACGCTGCAATAATCAAATTTGTTTCACAAATCAATTGGAACATTTAAAGGAGCAGGACGCCTTATTCTTTTCATTGCACACAAGGCAGAGGTAATCTTTTCTACAAACGCTCTTTTTGTGACAATCCAACACGTTCTGTTTATGATCAATATGTACCCCAGCAAATTCTTGGACGGAGCCTGTACCACCGAATGGCAATTGATCGAGATAGCCTCCGCCTCGATGCGATATGATAATATAAATTGAGTTTTTTACCTAGCTAAGGGTGAGTTTATGAGCAGCTAGCCATGGGTAGATCCTATTTGAATTGTAATTAAGACAATCATCAATATGTGTTAAGTCTGCATTGGCATCAGTTAAATTTATGTCATCACCATAGATCTTAGGCTGTGAAAAAAGGTTAGCAACTTGGCAGGTCATAAATATCCAATAAAAACAGCGGAGGTCCCAGAATAGTCACATCACATTTCACTAATTTAGGACTGGATATCCAACAGTTAATTTTGCAAAAATGGGTACGATTGATTAAAAACGAAGTAAACCATTTGCGACAGTTACCGCGTTAACTATAATGAAACGGTAATTTCGCCAACAATATATCATGGTTAACAATGTCAAAAGCTTTTTTTTTAAGTCTAAGAAAACAACGACATTAACATGACCATGACCTTTCGACCTTGAGTCCAGCGCACTAAGGTTAACCTGTAACTTGTGTGTGGGGGGGGCTGGTCATTTAAGTCAGGATAATGTTGCAAACATCTTTTATAATTCTAGGATGTGAATGTCGACCTAAAGCTTTGGTCCCATAACATCATCTACGCGCCAGTCACAAAAAAATTTGAAAATCATTGTTTAAATACTCAGGAAACTAAACCAAACAAGCTGGCGATGGCAACGAGAGCGCGTATGAAAAATAAGGTTTAAAAAGCAGAGCGACAACTCTATACGGGCGTTTTAAAGTTTGTGGTCGTCCTCTGTCAAATAAACAGCGTGAAATAACCCTTTACTTTCCATTCATCATTCCCTGTTCTTCATTCGTTACTTTGTGGACAAGATTTATTGACATTGGCTAGGGAAAAACGTTACCCTTTCTCCCCCGATAACGCTGAGATACGTGTTGATCCTTCTTGATTTCATTTGTTTGATACAGTTTTTGGGCTGAGATGCTACAACTGTGCCAGCTCTGAGTCGTTTGATGACTGCTCTGAAAACGAAAAAGTGGACTGCACTTCTGGATTTGATCGATGCTACAGAGGAGAAATCTTCTATGATATCAATTCACAAACCGTCAAGACTTACGGAAAAGGCTGCACTACTGCCGCGCAGTGTACAGACCAGAATGATCTAATGTGTAAAAATATAAAATCTTCTGGGGTTAAAAATGTCAAATGTCACATGAAGTGCTGCACTGAAGACCTCTGTAACTCATCCGCAGGAGTTCAAGTCAGCATTCTCATTCTGTTCACGTGCGTAGTCTTTGGTTTGGGTTATCTGCGCAATTAGATATGAATGGATACGTAAACGTTTCCTAACTCTTAGAATTGCAGAGGTTTAGTTAATATCAGAAATCGTGTAACAAAGTTTTGTCAAGAATATGTTGATATCCTACTTGTATAATCATTAAATGCAGCAGCTCCACTCAAAGTGTGTGTTTGTGAAGTTAATGTTGAACCCAAAAAATAATGACCGGTCCCCAGCCTCACCTCAACTTTATCATGTTAATTTCAAACTTTCCTTGTAATTGTATAGTTACATTGTTTTGTTTCTATTGTGTTTTGTCCAATGAGCATTTTGTTATACACTTTAAATTCAACTTTGTATTTTGTATCAATCAGAACTGAAGATGAAAGAGGAACTGTCAAAACATGTTTTTAAAAATTGTCGAACATTTTCTTCAATTCCTTCGAGTGACAATGGACAACAACTCACAACTGATTCAATCATTACAAGCATCAATTCCTAGAGAAACCATTAATTGGTTTTCACAGTGCCACTGGGTATTTTCCACGGAAGCACTTTGTCAGGAATCATCAAATCCCATGACCTTGTCCAAGAACATCGAAAACAATTCAGGTTTGCCAGAAGGAAAGTGCTTCAGTTTGGAAAAATTCTGTTCTCTAATGATCGATTCTAGAGTGCTGTAGACCAAAATATAAAATATTTTTAATAAAAATGAACTTTTCACAAAATTTACAAGGAATTTTCCTAAAAAGTTTTTGTAAACAGAAAGTTATATCTTCCTTAGTACCTGTTTTGGACAACCCAGGATGTGTTTCATTTGGCTGATTGTTATGGGTGAACCAACATGTTGTATCAATATGACCTTATGTAGTTCACAAATGAGCTTTCTGTAATGCCTATGTTGGTAGAGCACCTTACCAAGAGATTAGAAGTTCTGTAGCTCAAAACTAGGGGCTTTTTGGTCCCAACAAATACATTTGAATTCAATATCTTTCTTTGTTCCTTGAATGAGCAAGAAATTTACCACATTTATCAATCTATCTACTTCTAATTGTAATCATAAGGATCTGTTCTCTGCCGAAAAACTGGCTGACCAAATCATGAAAGAAGAAATAACATACCCACAGGTAGCATAAGATAAATGACCATCTTCAGCAAGTTGACTTGCTAACTCCAACTGGTGATTATCCATCAGAAGTTCATTTATTACAACAATTAGTGGTCGGCCTGCTTGTAAAGTTTCTAAAACACTTCCAGCCCCTTAAGATGATAACAAAATTAATAAAGTATGTTGTAAGTATCAATGAGGCTGAGTAGCAAGGTAGAAGTGTAGGCGCAAGAATTTGTATTATCATTTTTTGTTAGTGTTGGTGTTTCATAGTTTTGTGTTAGGTGTTTATTTTCTTGTTTTCATTAGGGTCCTTTGTCAGTTACCAGTTTTGTACTTGTTATATTTATTTGCATATCGTATATATATTGTTCACACGTAATTTATTTGGTTAGTTGTGTAGTTTGCAAAAATTATCGTTACATATCTAGCTCTGGGATTCGTGTTTTTCGTCTTTGGTTTGGTCACACTTGTCTTGCAAGTGTTCTTGTTTATTTCGCTTTGTCGTTTTCCAGTACTTTCACTCATATGATGTAAGTTATTTTATGCTCATTCGCGTGTTTGTAATTTTGTTATTTTCAGTTACCATATTCAACAATGTGTCAAGTTTGTTCTAGTAAAGTTTGAAATACGAGTGATTAGCATTTGCGGCTATAAGAAGAGCTATCATTTTGGATTAAACACCAATTAGTATTGATTAATTGAGCTTGACAAGTCTTCTCATTTCTGGATGTTTGCATGATTAGGTTTACTTCCAAGCCATTTATGAATAGAATCCACAGAAAATTATAGACAGAAATTACACGTCATCTCACAATCCATTTACCTCTATTGTATTGTACTTGACTAAATAATCCGTAGCTCACAGTTTTCACAAGGTATTTACTTGTAAGCTGGTGGCGACCATAGCAAATGGTCGCTCAGTGTCAGCCATTGTGAGCATACTAGTTCTTTAAAAGTCTGTTAACAACTAGTTAAAGTTGAACTTACCAGCATGACTGATCACAAGTGAAGCGCTTTGTATATCTTCTGCTATTGAATCTTTATATCGGTAGTATTGCATTGATAAATTCTTCTTATCTATGATCTCTGGTTCAAAAACACCTCTTCCTATTTGTAGAACGACAGAACCATAGCCTAGTTTTTCAAACAGCTGTGAATGTAAGATAGGACAAGAACTGTTTTTTTAAAGCTGAGAAATAATATATAAAAATTATCCTCAATCTGCGGGAAACTTGATTCCCTGTTTAGAGCAGTAATTCTTCTGTTCCAAGTTACGATCGCTAGTTCAAAGTAGTGAATCGTAGTTTCATACTGGTTCAAAAGGGCCAGCTCCAGTCTAAATTATCAAATCATCAAGCGAGTCTTCTGTCCATAATGGGTGTCTCTCGTTTTAAGTACAGAACTGCCAGTTCAATGTGTAAATTAGTATCGTAAGTTGCAAGGCAAATCTCGCGATCATCAGCAGAAAAAAAGTAGCAGTAGCATATTCAATAATGGCTATCTTAGGTACCTCAAGAAATGCTTTGCTAGAGACTGTTTCAATTAAGCGATCAAAACTCGTTGTTCCCACAGTGACAAATACTTTCCCAGCGTCCGCCATATTTGCTCTGAACACTTAATACTGTAGTTCAGCGGATGTAACCAGCAGCCTCGTTGTGGGTATCAAAAGATCATATTGTTGTTTTGGATGGCCATGCAGGCTAAAACTTCGCTTGAAGTAAAAGGGGAAATCTCGCCATCAACTTGTGTCTACACGAGCTGTTATTGGTACGTTGGATCATAAATACCTTTCTGATAAAGCATTTGTCTTTTTTTGGGGGGAGTTAGTTGTATCAAAACTAAAGAAATAATTTCATCAGCAACAAATCATGTAGTAGACCCTACCAAGGTTTCTGTCATTGAATTGTACAGTACACAGGTAATAGCGAAATTCTCATAAGAATGTTAAAACCTTTATCTCTTCCTTTTATTTGCATATCGTGTTTATGAAATACCTGCATAACTTAATGTTTGCACTCCGTGTCATTTCCCCCTCTGATCTATTTTTTGCGCGTGAAATTGTAAGTATTTTCGCGGGGTTTTCCCGTGTACGCTAGTAAAAGGCAATCGAAAACTGTTTGAGTTAAAAAAAAAAGTTCATGTTTCAAAGGAGTTTGATCCGTGTCTTTTTATTGTGCACTATAGGGTGAAATTGAACTAGGCATAGGCACTTCGTTTTTGTTTCGTGAGATTTTGAAGCCTGTTTAGTTGGATTACCCTTGATTTTGTTATGTGCTAGGTTTCGAAATTAAATTTTTATCTTACATCAGGAAAATTTGGAATTGTAAAAGTTGCCTTCCTTTCTGTAACTACTTTCTTAATCTAGTTTGCTCTTTTCAGATATAGGATCCCAAGTTGGATGTTACTTGATCAAAATAGCATGAACTTAAGGGCATGGATATGACTGAGATAGTTGCATATTCATGACAACCTTTTCTTCTCCTCATAAATAGCCCTATTCCTTTTATTCAATGTTGCAGAACAATCATGACCTCAAGTAAGCCAGGTTTTTGGTTTTCTGTTTTGAACAACATTGGAGTAGGGGGTAGGAAAGAGAAGAAAAAATAAATTTAGACTTCTGTGCCTGTTAAACAAAACCCTGAGTGAACAAAGTGATGCTTTATTTGATGTATTTTCTCCTCTTTGTAGTGAAGAAAATGTTTGGAAGTTATGTGAGCAGATAAGAGATGAAAAAGAGCAAAACCTGAGTGAATATTATTCAGTGTTCATATCTAACGAGAAAAGACAGGTTAGTTTACAGCTTCTTATATAATGTAAAATATTATATGGTAAGAAATTTAAGAAAGGCTTACTTGCTCACTGAAAAGTGTGGTTAATCATCTGTGATATGTTAATCAACTAGGTTCCTTTATGGATGCAAAAATCTGCAAAGGACCCTTTAGCTCCAGTTGTTTGGGTAAGTCAATAACTTTGTGACACAAGACACCTTAATGATTCTCTTTAGGGCTCAGAGCACTTATTTACTTTTGGTACCTCAAGGGAGGGCACTTTTGTGAACCAGGGTGCTTCTTCAGGACAGGGTGCTTATTTCTTTTCTGAGAAGCAGTAGAATTTGAAACAAAGCTTTTATGTTTATTTGACTGAGGATCAAAAAGACTGAAAAACATACTTGTTGTCCCACATCATTCCTTGCTAGAATGACTAGCCAAGCAATTGTCACAAAATCTTTTAGACAGAACCCATTGTTGGAAGGAACTGTGCATTTGCAGGGCCTTATTAGTTGAGAGACTGAGATAAGGACCACATTTTTGTTGTGAGGCTTTTAGTGAGCAATCAAAGGATGATGAACCACAGTTGATCTCAATGTTCATCTACAATTTTATTCTAACAGTTCTATTACTGAAACAGGTAAGGGGGGGATTGGAATTAGGGTGCTCACTCAATAGGGGTGCTAATAAGAAGGGAGCGCTTATCAACAAAAACCAACTTTAGGGGGTTGCTTATCAGAGAGAAGGTGCTTATAGGAAAGAGGGCACTAAATCAAATCATTAAAGTTAGTGCTCACTTACTGAGATCAAATCAAAGTAAGGGATTTTTGTCAATGATGAAGCAAGATTTCTTTTTGGTCAAACTTCTCTTATAAACTGAAAAAGAGAGATTTTTTAAAATTCTCCAGCCCCAATTTTTTGGATGAAAAAGGATAGTGGTCAAATGTTTGATACTTTTAATAGTATAATAATAAATTAATTAAATTTATTATTATTTGAAATGAAGTTATGATTTCTTATTTCTCCTGCTTGATTTCAAAATGCTAGCCCTTAGAGGAAAGATCAGGGGAGTTTTCTCTTTGAACATTGATACTTCAACGTGCTGTGAAAAGAGAAGTAGATTATTCACCATTGAACCAAAAGAGAGCTTAAAACTTTTTAGGTCATTTAAAATGTAGTTTTAAAACAAAAACAATAGTAGAGAGTCCACCTTTTATGTTTTCGATGAAATCAGCAAGTTTTTTTTATTTCAGGACTACCATGTGCTGCTACTACGTCAGGTGGATGCTAAGTGTTTGATATATGACTTGGATTCCATTCTTCCTTTCCCTTGTCCATTTGAACAGTATGTCCAACAGGCAATCCAAAATGACAGACAACTTAAAAAACACTTTCACAGGTACTCTCTGCTATGTTGTTGTATGTTGTAAACTAAAAGGCCATGGACATATAGATAAGGATGTATGAAAAAAGTTTGGAAGAGTTAAGGGTAGTTGAATGCACCCATATCTGATGCAGATATGTGTACTTACAACCCTGCTACTTAGATCCTTTGTAACTGAAGACTTTGTTGCTTCTTTCCACCCTCTTTCTCCCCCCCCCCCCCACCCCCTCCACACCTGCAGGAAGGTTTGGCCTCACAAGTTTTTTGAGGGGATAACACCAATGAACTCAGTGAATTTTGGAAGCCATAGTTATATATGTGTAATTGATATGGGAAAGTCAACTTTCAAGCATATTTTGCTTTTCATTCTTGTTTTGTCAGCCAAGATCAAATATTAGCATAACTAACAATTTAGACACCACTTGCTACTGCTATTTGCAAGGTCTAAGAAAGTTTTGAGTGCACTTTTTATGCAAGTGGAATGTCAATTGTTCCGTCATAGAAACAGTGGTGTTGAATATGATTTGTAGGACCTACAAGCTATAGAGGGGTTCTCTTTTATAACTTGTAAATAAAACTACATTTGAAGACTTAATAGTTGTCTTTCATTCAATATAGAAAATTTAGAGTCATACCAGCAGAGATATTTCTCAGTACATTTGCCTCAGACCGGTCTCATATGAAGAAACCAAATGGAGAGTGGGTAAAACCTCCTCCTCCATACTCGCCTATCAGATCTGAAGGTAAGTAATAACAGCTCAACCAGAATGCTACCAGAAGGATGTTCAATAATGAATAATTTTAATTGTTAATAACTCATTTTTTAATAGGATTGCATATGTAGTATTCCTCCTCAACACACTTTGTATCATCCTTTTGAAATAAATGCAAGTAACTTTATTATAATCACAAGATTGGTGAAAGCCAGGTTATTAAACTGAAGCACTTAGTTTCAAATAAGCTGCTGCATGTAGATTTTTTTTTTATGTTCTATAAAATGAATGGAAATGCAGTTGCTCTGGTAATCACCAGTGACCAGGATGAAAATTATACAGTAACATTTCTCCACTCATAGTTGGTGAATAGGGGGGTAAATGATGCTTATATGTTCCATGTATTATGTATTACAATACAACCATTAATTTTCACACAATGTTTTTGGCTTCTTTGCATCATGTAAAATAACTGTACAGTAATCACATGATCACCCTGCACACTCTGATATTTCCTTCCATCCAAAAAAAACAAAGTCAGCTGTAGAAAGCTTGCTCAAGAGTTTTATCTTTTCATCTATATTATTTTTCATGGAAGAAAAATAAACTTGTTTTTATAGTTCATTGATAGTGACATTTAAGAGCTGGTTGCAAACAATCATCTGCCATCTGATCACAATGGCTTTTTAACCAACCATTTGTGGGCAATATTATTATTATTGCGAGGTTATAAAATAAAAGAAAACTCTTTCTGGCTTTCTTTCCACAGTTTCTCTTCAAATATTCATTTTTGGACTATCTCTTAGCTGCAGACATTTATATCGGCTAACATATCAAGTGCCCGCCAGGGAATTGTTTACCAAATGTTCACTTTAACCTCTGACTTTGAGACTGAATGTGACCGATTTTTGTATTTCATAGAGAGCACAATGAACCTTCAAGAATTTATTGATATGTCACAGGGTGAAGGAGAAGGACAAGTGATGGACTATAAAACATTCATCAAGAGTTTTACTTCAACAGAATGATTGGATGTTGTGATTATTACAACTCCTGTTAAATATTATTGGATGATATTACTTTGTCCTCAAAATTTTGTTTTCTTCATGTTGTACTCATCAGAGTACAGAAAGTGGTATGCTTGCTTAATTACCATTTTAGTGTGATGTTTGTTAATGCAAAAAGACAACGAGCGTTCCGTAAGGGTTGCATAAAGTTCAAACGCGCAAGTGCAAGCATGCAATGATACCCTATATTTGTACAGAAAGAAAGTCAGTTTTGTAGATTTAAGAATTACTGCTAGTTATTGTATTATGTCTTCTAACTTTCGTAGAAAAAAAGAAAAAGGTCCACACGTGAAAAAAAAAGATAAATAAATCTTGTTACATTTATGAAATCAATCTGCTTCTTGTCTCTGTGGATAGTGGTATGACGTGATATGTATGCAGTTCGATTATTATTTGTCACAACCCTCAGAAAAACACGGAGTCGGAGTTTGTGTAAATGGATCTTTTCAAGCTAGAGTTGGAAACTTGATTCCCGGGTTGATACACGCGCATGCGATAAACACCAAACCAATATAGGATATTTTCTTTCTTTATCCCTTTTCCTATTCCTTGGGGCGTTACTATATCGAAGCGGTCAACTGAAATCATTGCTTGAAGAAATTACTTAAGTATTGTGATCATAGCTTAAGAATAATCTCAATTTTTGGAAACGAGCACGTGGCAATTAAGAGAACCAAAGGAAAGGTAAAAACCAGCGATAAGTTTCGCTTTGAGTAACAACTATAAGCCAGGTAACATAATCACAAAACAAATTAATACTTATCAATGTTCGCGGGTCTTGATTACTTTATCGAGGATTACGGTCTAAGTTGTCTTCTATTCAAAAACGATCTTGATCATACGGGGTCTTATCCCGAACTGAAATGCTAGCTGTAATTTTCTGTCTAAAAAGAACTAATCACGGGGGCGTCAATCTAACCAAAAAATATTTCGCAGCTTTTCTCGGAAGCGGTAACATTTATCTTCAACGGACAGTTACAGTTTGATCTTTAATTGGCCGTAAGTAGAAATCAAAACTGTAAACGATCTTAGTGACGGACTAAAGAAGAAACAAACTGTTCTTATTGATTGAGGTAGTGCTGGTGATTGATGTGGTAGTGCTATCACTACAACATCACGGGTGCGCTCTTCGTTTAGAACACAATGGTTTAACGGACGGAAACATCTGAAACTCCCCCACATACCAAAACTTAGGCTGTTTCCCCACAGAACCACCCTGTCTATCTGCGCCTAGTCGATATCCACTGAGAGCCCTTTGCACTATGACACTTCCTCGTTTTCTTCGCACTTTTTTTTTCTAAATTTACAGTTTAATGCTGTGAATAATTTTGTTTGTGAGATCTACACGGAATATTAACATCCCTTATGGAGTTGTGGATCGGCGAAAGTTTAGAATTCTAGAGGAAGAAGCGGTTATTAAGGCCTCTCTCGTTTTTAAACACCTGCTCTCTTGAGCATACAAACTATGAGAAAATCTAAAATCCTGTTATCAAGAGACAACAAAGGAATGTTATTTTAGTGACTCGAGTGTCATCAGAAGACAGCACGGTGGGATCGGAACGATTACTGTAAATAACATTCGTGCTTTGATTTTTTTATGAAGCTACAGTACGCTGTACAGGTAGCTGCGGCACTTTGCTTTTAAAACACGGAGATTTCAGTGGAAGCCACTGGCATAAGGAGAAACAAGGGCACTGGAATGGAAATTCCTGGCTCTTACACCTTTTACCGCAAGAAGCCTTTGAAAATAAAGCGGATTTCAACTTAACAGAACTAAGAAGAGACAAAAAGGATAAAGAGGATCTTAAGATTTGTCGATAAAGTCAGTGTCGGCATTTAAAATAAGCTGTTAACTGTGAAGTTGTTCCATTGTTACAGAACTGAAGGATTTTGATTCTAGTTTGTCTGTTTCGCATTTGTCTTCAGTCACGTTTTGACATTTGTTCGTTATATCGGAATATATTATACGTTTGGGCCTCTGGAAAGTGTTCGTGTTAACAAGGATTTCGTTATATTGAGGTTCTTTTCCATATATTTTCTTGTAACTCTGTCCGGGCTGAAGAGTATCCTGGTTATACCGAGTACTTCGTGATATAGAGGTTCGTTAAATCGAGGTTCCACTGTACATTACCCTCAGCCGAACAATAACGGCTTAACTTAATTATATCTCGGCTAAAACTATTGACTTTTCGTGATTTTTATCAAAATATTGCACTCATCGGGAAAAGAAAACTGAGTCGGACTCATGTGCCCTCAACTCCATAATCCCAAATTAACAAGGAAAATGAAATTGAGGAAGAAAGTTGCCCTAATAGTTTTCTACAAGAGATCATCTTGTTTCCTAGAATGAACGTAACTGTGTAGTTATTCCGAGACTCAAATAACACTCAGAGAACTTGTCTAAACTTGCTTCGATAATTGATATTTACATTCCAACATCACAATAAGTACACAGTGAAAAGTTCGCAAGGAAATACAGCTCCATATTTCTAAACCTTTTCTGGAAGACAACCGTTGAAAGGACAACGATGAAAGGACTTGTTTTCATAACCGCGATTCTATGCTTTTGGGTAACGTATGGTAAGTCTAAAGCACTGCATTAAAATGTGACCAAAGCTATTTTACCACAATCGAAACTTAAAGGGAACTGGAGGGAAATGAAGCTTGTCGTCAAATATCTTGACTTAAAGTCGACTTGATTTAATGTACTAGATTTGAACGTCAAATGAAACGGGAAATAGCATTCAGAGCATTCAGAGAGTTACTGCGCTCAGATTCCTTGCTCGGCAGGGAGCAAGTAACTGAGGGAGAGACATGATATCGAGAGATATGTCGCGAAACCCAGAAACTCTACATCTTATGTGACACAAGAGGTAGGGAAACAGTCGGCTGGAACACCTTGAGCACCTGTGAACATTCCTTTTCTAAAATTCATCTTTTCCTTAAGTTGTGCTAATTGCTACAAACTGAGAGTTTAAAGCTAACATTTTTTGTTGGTTTCTTATCGAAAGCTGGTGGATTCAATTGTTATCTGTGCAAAGGTATGCAGTCCTCCCTCCAAGCATGCGATGACAAGATCCAGAAGGCTCATTGTTCGACGCATGCAAAAGGCGCTGACCGCTGTGGAATCTTCTCGTTCTTTAATACTTCTGGCATCAGAGTTTACGGCAAGAGTTGTGTATATGAGAGATTTTGCGAAAGCGCAGAGGAATTCTGTAAAAGCGTGTCACAGGATTTTGGAAAAGGTATCACAGGGTGTGAAATCAAGTGTTGTAGCGAGGAATACTGTAATTACGATTCTAATACTGTCAGTGTTCCCAAGCAGTTTGCTGACGACTCTGAAGATTGTGGCTGGGTTGATGGAAGTGTGTCGCAAGGGGTCAGTGGCTTTCTTCACGGAGCATGCGCACTCTACGCCATGGCAATGGTCAAATAAGTATCATTAGCGACTGGGATAGACTACGAGCAGTCCCACCTTTACGGCGAGTCCATCGCGCTAGTCTAAAAACATCAGCGAAAAAAAATTAACGTTAGCGCGCCACGGAGAGCTCTGGGCACGCTAACATCATCTTTTTCCCTCGCTGTTTTTTTTTCGGACTTGTGCGACGGACTTCGTCGATAAGGAGGAACTGGTCGTAGTCTACGACTGGGAGGAAACCTTAGAAACATTTTCGTTTGCCGTGACTTACAGATTTTGTGATTGAAGTGTTATTTAATAAGAAATTGGCGTTTGATTGGAAGAGAGAAGTGTTACCAATATATTAATTTCTTTCGCTGAAAATGATGACGATTGGAAACTTTTAAAAGGAGTCAGTAGGTTTATATTAGCTAAATAGTTTCTCTAAACTTCTGTACTAACAATATCCCATGCTTCTGTTCTGTTACGATGGTCCTTGCGAATCTACCATGATCAGTTTTTCCTTTAGGTATCTGTTTGCTAATTTACGCTTTCTTGAATTCTGCTTTAGAATGGCACTGAAAAATCATCGCTAAATTCACGTATTCATTTATAGAATGATCATTTTGATAACAGCTGAATAAACCTAAGTTCTAAAACATTGGTGCTAAGATGTTGCTTTTCTAGGAGAAAAAACAATAAGATGAAGGAAATGTGCTTTTAAATCATTCAGCCCCTTATGAGTTTGAGTAACCTGTTAAAGGAAATTTCTTGTTGAAACTACCTCTAGCCGGGCCTCTATCTGTTTATTTCAGAAACTCGGCCAATTTCACCTCAGAATAAAGGCAGCTGAACGAAACACAGCGAGCGTGCCTGTCCCAGCAACAAAGCATTCACCGCCAATTTAACTGCTTGGTTTTGTTGTTGTTGTTGTTGTTGTTATCCCAGA